GCCAGGCGAGCAAAGCGCCGCGCCGCCGCGTGGTCCCCCCCAACTAAGTTAGCACCGAAAAGTGCACGTAGTGACCAGGAGGGATTGCAGATAACGCTCTTGGTTGGTGCGCACTCAGCCCTTTCGGCGATCATCTAATCATTCGAAATGCCGGCTTTGACCGCTCTACTATAAAAGGGGATATTGGAGCAAAACGCAACCAAGTTCACATCGCAACAACAAACTACTTCACAAAACCGCTCAAATTTCCCCTTCCCGATAGCCTGAACAGCTCGTTTGATGTGTGATCAGCCATTTAATGGGTTTACACTAGATTGTTTTTCACAATTCTGCGAATACCGAACAATTTAGAGTAGCAACGGTCGCCGACGATCATCGGCAACGGCGTGGACTCGCAATGACGTGGCGCGGAGGTCCTGCCGCGAATGCCGTCATTTCAACGGGCGGTGACAAACAACCGAAGTACATGGTGAGTTGCGACTTTCACGTCTTGCGGCGTTTTTTACGGCACGTTTTGCGCCGGCGCAGTACTTGTCTCAGATCAATGGGCTCTTGTCAACACTTTCTTATGTTCTTTCATCACGCCGCGTGGCGATTTAATTATCGTTCGGAGGGTGGTTTTATTGCCGTGTTTTTAGCAAGGCTCGTTGGTGCATTGTTACTGCTTTCAAATCGGTGTTAGCCTAGGTTTCTGAGGTTTTCAGTGGCTGTAAGGCCACTGCGTTATTGATTGAGTTTTTCGGACGTTTCATGTGCTGCGCCGGCTGTAAAATCTCGTGCTCATTTGCATTTACATACGAACAATTTCAGCTAGTTCATTGTGTTCAAAATTTGCCAGACTTCTTTTCATGTTAAACATTGTGACTAACAGACCTGCTGCAGTCCTTTTTTACACTGAAAATTTCCGTCGCCTTTTGTTGGTTCATAACTGCCATCGTTCGCGAATTGCTGTCAATGTCAATTGCCCTCCACCGTTTTTGAAATATTTGTCGCACGCATTTTAGCCGATGTGTAAATACTTCCTTGAATGGGATAGGGCTCTAATCCAGTAAAGGAAAATGTGGTCCGACAGTTGCTAATGCCTAAAGAAATCCCAATTTTTGCAGAGGTGGAAATTCCCGTGGGTGTGAACCACTTTGCGTTCGCTTTTACATCAACATGGAGTTTTCCTCCCCTGCGAAAGTTGTGATTATTTCAAGAGATACGAATTGTCGCATCTTTTTACTGGGGCGGTATTCAATCCTTCCCCCAGGGGTTTTGCTTTTGAACGATGTAGTTTCTTCATTTTCAATGCATGTTTACTTTACATACATACATTAAATGTAGGCCCTTTATCAGGACAATCCCAGTTGGGAAGACAGAGAAAATTTAAAGGGATTTTCGTCCCCCAACCCTAGAGGGAAGGATCGAATACGCCCCTGGAGAGACCCTGGAATAGCGCTTCTTTCCATGCGATGCATGTTCCTACTCCCTTTCGAACTGGCAACGAGAAATTTGGCGCACTGTTGTCTTGCCGAGAAGATTTTCTCATTCTGTGTATAGCTGCTCTCTTGGCCATAGATTTCCGAAGAAATTTTGTCCTGAATTGCTGCTTCTTTTGCATTTGGTCGTTGAACTTAACACACAAGCATCTGGAAGAATGCAAAAAATTATTGAAAGCGTTACAGCAGTGGTTATGTTGATTGTTCGGTGGGAGGTCTTTCTCTCATGAAAGCGCTGAATGAAAAACTGGCCACCAACTCATCGATGCAGCGCATTGTTTCTCTTAAGTGCGTGTTGGCAAAATCTAGCAATTGTCCTATTAGTAGATGTTAAGAAAGTGAACAGAGCGAAGCCGCGCATCTATCGAATGATTTGTTACAGTGTTTTCTACACCATGAATCCCATTACGCCTACATATTCAAAGGCGCAATGTGGCTCGGAGGAGGCCAGTCGCCGCGCGCGATCTCTGCGTTTTTCTGTGTAAGCATTTCCTCTTCGCTAAATCGGGACTAAGCCTCAGGGAGGAACTCCAGGATCATAGCAATTTTCATCTTCCCAAAGTTCCTGCCCACTCCTAGGCTTAGTACTACAGGGCGCGGACGAGCAGAGATCGCGCGCGGCGACTGGCCCCCTCCGAACCACACTGCGCCCATATTCAATTACTTCCGGTCTTTCCAAGTGTTACCCACTTCCAGTCATGAACCGTGCCATTTTGTCGTTGTGCCGTCAAGTTCCATTGATGCGACGTGCGCTGCACAAAGGAGTCGACTCAACGCCACCTCTGCGTTTTACCTCAGTCACAGAAAGGGTTGGTTATTCAAGTTGTTCGTTTTATTGCTAGAAGTTGTTCATATCAGCGACCGCACATGTGTTATGTGTTAGGCTCTGTTTCCATTATGTCTAGCTGTGATTTTAATGCGGAGGATACACTGTGAGATGATCGATTTCTCGTCCGATGTGTGAACAGAAATCTTGTCCATGGCATTTGATTACGTCTTCACAGTTAACTAGCAAATCGGGGCATGGTTTTGAAGCGGGATATCAGCTGTGATATGATATGGTATTTGATATGGTTCTTTTTCTTGTGTGTGCGCAAGGGCTTTCTACTAAAGTTCTGTTTGCATTGCTGACTTAGGAACGTTTTTATTGCAGTTCCTTTTGATTGCTTGCCAACTCGTGGAAGTTTCGGACCAAAAGTCTTGATTCTTTTTCTAGCTCCAATGTTTATCAAGTCTGTTTTCTGTGGTTTTCCTTTTTTGCTTTTTCTAACGCTTTAGTCGATATAATTTATCGAATGCTTAGGCTGGTGTCAGAGTCCGCGATCCGTCGCAGGTTTCGCTGATTTTCGCGATTTGCGCGATTCACGCGATTTGCGCGAAACCTGCGACGGATCGCAAAAATTGCAAGTGCCCCATTTGAACATTTGAAACACTGAATATGAAACAAGTGGAATCATGAGCAGTCGTCATTCAGCCATCACTATCAAGCAGAAGTGGCGGCAGGATTGGAGAACACCTTGCAGTATTGATCGGGCACTTGTGATTTCCGTGACCCGTCGCGTGAATCGCGCAAATCGCGAAAATCAGCGAAACCTGCGACGGATCGCGGACTCTGACACCAGCCTTGGTTCCATGGGTGTTTCTGATTCAACCATTAGAAAAATTTGTTAGGTTAGGTTAGGCTTATGTTTTTTTTTCTCAAAACGGAGCAAATTATACCTCTCTCTGGCAGCATCTGAGCCGCATACTGTCATTAGAAAGTGCTGGAATGTACAGGACCTCGGAGAAGCTACAACAGAGCTGCCTGTGTTCATTCTACTTTTACTGAAATCGTGTGAGGCTTACATTTGTATGGCGAGAGCACTTTTTCATGCATAAAATCTAAGTCTGAGATCCGTCCGAATGTGGGCGAAAATAAACTCAGGAAGCCATCTATTGACAATTCAAGTTTTAGAAGGTTACTGATTAAGCTATGAGCTGAATTTCCGTGCGATTGATTACGGCCTGTTCATCCAACTCAATTTTCATATGTCCTTTTTTGCACACTTTTCGTGCCATTTCAAGAACTTCAACTTTTCTCTATTCATGCCATCGTTTCTGTATGAACGACGTTTGCTGCAAAGTGTGATCTCATCACTACTTCGTGTTCGAATATATTCTGTCATTTCTGTCATCGATAAACCGCATCCTACGCAATCGTGTGCCACTCATCATGACTAAGTTAGACATTAGAACACCTCTGTAGAAAAGTTCTTGAGCGGGAGTATTACAGTTCAGTTTACAGAGGTTTCGCTTCTCGGTATGCATTTTGGGTATTGTCACCTTCGGCCATTGTCGTCTAATTTGTCCCATTTGATGCCCTATTGTGCAATGCGTCATGACGCGCAATTTTTCTTTTGAACACTGTTCTCGCCCGGATATTTATTTCAGTGCGCATCAATATACGCCACTGGTAAGGAGAGATTAGTTGTTTGTGCGGTTCCTGTCTGACCAGACATTCAAAATGTCCTCCATCATTGGTGTGCTTTCCACAGCTGCCTCTTTTATTGTAAATATAACTTTTTGCGTTTAATAAGTGAACAAGAATTGTTTGTACCCTTGCGTCGAGTCCATGTTCTTTGTAAACACACGTGACGGCGAAGTACAGTTGGTGAATTGGACTGTGGAGTAATTAAGGCTGATGTCAGAGTCCGCGATCCGTCGCAGGTTTCGCTGATTTTCGCGATTTGCGCGATTTTCGCGAAACCTGCGATGGATCACAGGAGTACACAAGGCACAACACACACAAGGCGCCCGCGAGCTGTGCTGGAACATTTTCAAATTTCCCGCACACTTGCAAGTGTCCCATTTGAACATTGAAACACTGAATATGAAACAAGTGGAATCATGAGCAGTCGTCATTCAGCCATCACTATCAAGCAGAAGTGGCGGCGGGATTGGAGAACACCTTGCAGTATTGATCGGGCACTTGTGATTTCCGTGACCCGTCGCGTGAATCGCGCAAATCGCGAAAATCAGCGAAACCTGCGACGGATCGCGGACTCTGACATTAGCCTAACAGATGTTGTAGCTTCCTTCATGACTTTATCGGCTGCAATTAGTAGCGTTTATATTTGACTAGTAACATTCACAGGTTTATTAGAAATCTGTATGCGTTCTTACTGTGCCATATTAGGGTTGGTGTCTTTTGTATCTTACGAGATAGCTGCGCTCATCTACACAACACAGTCCCTCTTCTGGTCTCGACATGAGGTTGCAGGTTTATTTTCGAATGTGGAAATGCAGTTTCAAGTTGTGCACAAGTTATTTAAAATCAACCAAGCGCTCTCGAACGAGTCATTTTGGCACGAATTATCAGAAATTTGTTGTTACGAGTTTGAATCGATTTGTCAGCCCCATACAGATCTTATATGGCATAGCTTTTGGACAACATACTGTGGGCATCAATCGGTGAACGTTTTCGAAGAATTTCTCTGTTTTTCTTCCTCATATCGCCTATGTTTGAATTAGTCACGACTAATAGTTGCCAATGAAGGCCACTGTTATCAGAAAATTTTCCATACAGCGTTCGATCGATTGCATTTTGGGCACGTTTTTGATGTCTTTTCTGCTTTAATTTGCAGTAATCGCCGAGTATTTTAGGGGTTGTAGGAATTTGATAATTGTGGACAAACGAGTGACTATATCACATCGCATTCGATACCTTACACCTTCATTAACACTGGAGGGAGCGCGCTTGAAAGGCGGTTTCTGATGAATTTTTTCCATTGCTATTTCAGGTATCGCTGTTTCTGCTGATATCAGTGACCTTCCTTTCGTATCCCACATACGTTCTGCTCAATTTGAACAATCTTCGTCCTAAGGTACTTGTTGAATTTTATCTGTATTTAGCCTTGATTTGAGCCTTTGACGCAATGGAGCGTTTTAGTTCAGTTTTTACTTTGTATCGCGGATATTTGTTGTTAATGTCCTGTTTAACTCTTTGAATAATGTACCAGTGAAAACGCTAATTGAGTGCGGCTTTTCTTAATTTCAAACGAATTCCTTTATCTAATTTCTAGCTAAGGACTTTTCAAAAGTAGATCTTAATTCTAAATGTTGGGTAGCACAAAGCGGCACCAAACGTTTTATTAAAAAATAATTAGCAGTCTATAAAAATTTCAAATCTTTCAAAAACAGTCAAGAGAATTTCTATGAAACCCTTCGCGGTATTTAGGTGTGTAACGCTTTCGTCGGGCCTGAATTGCAGTCCACATCTCGAAGTCTGATTGGGCGTGTCACCGGAAATGACGTGGCAGCCACCGCACTTGATAGAAGTTGCGTGGATAAGCTGCTTCCGCCTTGCTGATTATCAGCGAAAGTGTTGGAAGCAGCTTATCCGCGCAACTTCTATCAAGTGCGGTGGCTGCCACGTCATTTCCGGTGACACGCCCAATCAGACTTCGAGATGTGGACCTAATTGATCATAGCAGGCTAAATTATTTTTGGTCTCCAAACCCGCATGGCTAGCAGAAATCGAATGCCCCGATCAATACTGCGAGGTGCTCTCCAATCCGCCGCCATTTCTGCTTGATAGGTGATGGTTGAATGACGACTGTTCATGATTCTACTTGTTTCATATTCAGTGTTTCAAATGTTCAAATGGGCCACTTGTAAGCTCTGGGAATCGCGTGACTGATCGCGGGATCTGGCACCAGCCTAAGAGATCTGATTTCTGTAACTTTACTGAGCATGTATGTGCTACCGATCTGAATATATTCAGTGAAGGAATGGTTGTTGAAGTAATGTGTCGATATTGATCATGGGTAGATATCATCCACGAGAATGAGCAGATGTGATAAGTATAGAGGCGTCCCTCTGTCTTCGCCTCGTGTGTCCCTGGCGGTAATAATATGAAATTCCTCACGCAATCATATTCGCTGTCGGTGGCGTGATGAAACGCGTAGTTATAACGATTTGGTGACCGGCAATCTCCCACGGAGCCTGTCTTCATGCGCAGTTTTTTGCTTGTGGCCTTTTCGTCGGCGAGATTGGCCTCAAATTTTGACGCAAAAATCTACTTTTCGAAAGTATAATCAGCTTCTCCATGCAATCGTCTGTAACACGCGATCTCAAGAATGTTAAGCATAGAGCCGAAAAATCAAGTCTATCGGAGTAGGCGGCGCTTCGACCAAGCGGTTTGCAGTGCCTCCTCTCAAATTTAGTGTGCAGGTTCTAAACACGAAGGTTCGTAGTCATCACAGTCATTGGGTCTAGGGAGAAAAAAAAACTGTTCACTGTCTCTTTGAAGGTTTTTGTTTGGATAAAAATGTGTTACTTTTTCAGCCTGACAACTCACTCAGTCCAGAAGTACAGGAACAAATCGATGCTATGCGAAGTGCGCGCAAGTAGGACTACTAGATGTAAAATAGTTGCAGTTTCGATAAAAGTTTTTTGTGATGAGTGTTATTATCAATAAAAGATTTATTGTAACGTAGAGTTTCCAAGTGGAACTGAAGAAAAAAGTTCAACAGGCAGAATCATCAGGCCAGTACTCCTCGTGATTGTTCGATCGAAATGTGATCCCTGTAGTAAAGACGAGCCAGAGTCATGGGTAGGATTACTAGAACTGAAAATAACTCAGAATAAAAACAATCGGTAGATCGGAGTTGCTAGGACAGTGAAGCTCCATGTTCCTCACTGTTTCAAGGATACAGCCGCGGGAAGGTAAAAAGTGACTTTACCGTCAGCTGTTGTTCATGACGTAAGTCATGTACGTAACGCAATATGGGTGCACGATTGAAGCGTGGAGCAGTAGACACTCGCACCCACTGGGGAAGGGTGTAATGTGATGCGGGGTACACCGTTATCCCAGTGAAAGGGCCTTTGGCAAAAGTCGCATTACCAATCCACTCCGGTGTTTCTCCTCCTATAGCCGGGCCGACGATAGGAACGAGGAAATCGGTGATGGGTCAGAAAATTATTTTCCCCGATGTTCCTTTACTCTAAAATCGGCGTCTTCTTCCTCACCAAGAGGGTCTGTTAGGATTTTTTTTTGGCAAATTTTGAATTGTGTTCTGTCTGGTAATGAAACGGAATCGGCGACGTCTATCGTTCTCCGCTTGGGATAATTCAACAGAGACACGTGATGCACTTTGTGCCTTTGAAAAAAACTGATTGATGGTCATCGCGTCTGAGCGAACATAAAGATCTGAACGTCTGCTTTGGCACGTAGGAGTATTGATTTGGAACGAAGAGACTGCTGCTAAAATCGCATTTCCATGTGTGACATCACGGAACTATTACAGACTTGACATTGCCGTACTTATTCATATATCGTTGCCCTCGAGAGCTCAGCATACAGCGATGGTCACAATCGTTTCTTTTAGGAAGTGCATATGAAATACTAATTTTTGTGACTGAGGTGAGGGTTGTTTCGGGTTCAGTGTCAGTAAGATGGACATGCTGACTTTTTGAATACAATGGGCGCGTGGTGCACTTTATACAAAACGACTGATGACGCACGCCCGTATATTGGGGTTACGGTAGGCGCGAAATGTACGCGGGGTTATGATCTAACGAGACGCTGTGGGAATCGATCATCCACTGCTTCTTCTTGTTTTTTCTACTTTCGATGGTATTTCCTGCTGGATCGTTCAGATACACACAATGTGATCTGAACAAATATTAAAAAATATCTTCAATTATTTGACATTAGAATAAATGCAGAAAATTTACGATGATCGATGGACTAAGCCCTTTGGAGAAGAGAGAGGCTCCCTTTCCAAAGGCTTAGTCCATCGATTATCGTTAGGTCATAGCACTGGGCTGCGGTCTCCACGTACATTTCGCGCCTACCGTAACCCGAAAATACGGGCGTGCCCATCGCACTTGTATTGCACCGCGCCTACAATCAATTCATTCCCTTGTCGGTTGTCAACTGCCTTTTTCGCGACCGTCGCAATGGTGTGCACCCGACGCTTCCTCGTTTTTCGAGAGGGGAAGGTCCACAATTTCATTAACACATTGACGACCGCGCGCGTTTTGGCTTTTTTGGCCGTGTGGGACCGGGCCGATTTTGCGAGTGCGACCGCCGCACCTCGGATCCGTGAATTTTTATTGATAACTTTTTAAAGCACCAGTGGTACAAAAACATCTCAGTAACAGTCAATGCGTAGAAGGTAATAGAGTATATAGTGACGAAGTTCCGATTAAAGAACATGTAATGGTAATGAAAAAGGAAATTTTAGTCATTTTATCTGTAGTGGATGCCAAAAGCTCTTTTGATGTGGTTATACCAAGTGAAACATGTATTTTTCTGTCTCTTTAGATTTGCATTTACTTTCACTACCCTTTTTTATTGACGTGTTCATGAGAATAGCATGAAAACTATTAATGAACCAAGCCGCCGGTTTCGGTGAGCTTGGAAAACTTCTTCTAAACTGGAGCATATTTGAACAAACAATGACCTATGTCGTTCACAATAATGTTATGTTCTAATCCTAGAAGAGGAGAGAC